TTGGGTTGTAGGGGGTTGGGTTGGAGGCCAAGGACATCGAGCCCCACTGGAAATTTCGGTCATAATACATAGAAGGGTTCTTTTCAAAATTTGATGATGAACACCCCTGCCATATTTAGAAATTAATTAGTTGAGCAGTGTGCTAATGTTCTTATAGTTATTACTTTCCTGATAGACCTTAATGCTCCATGCTTATTGTTTTTCAGCATAACATTTGGTGTTATAGTTCACACCTGTCTGGAAGTTGTATGGGGTTAATCTTAACCATTGTGATCAGTATGCCACAGCTTTACAATCTCAAGGAGTCACTTGCTTTTGAATTTATTTTTCAATAGCTTAATTTACTCTAAACATCACATACAGCACTTCACAATCACAATCAAGTGTAGCTAAATTTAAAACAAACTTAAGCTCTACCTTCTAATGACCCTCACTACATGTAAATGTGACACCAAAATAGCAATATAACATTATATCATTAATAAGCCCCTGTGAGGGCCATTTAGAACAAAAATGGTGCTGCTACTTTTAGGCTTGGTAATTTAAATTTCTATTTTATTGCTAGGAACACCTGCATTAATTACAAGAAAATAAGTTGGTTTACTGAGATATCAACAGATCTGTCCGTCTGAAAATACTCTTGTTCAAACAAAATATGCCAACACTTCAGACTGATTCAAAAGGGAAAATGAAACAAACAAACAAACAAACAAAAAACAACCAAAACAAAACAAAAACAAACAAACAAAAAAAGAAACAAAACAAAACAAAAAAGCAAAATAAACTGTACTGTCACAGGGCATCTCTATTTTCTCACCTACGCTCTGGTAAACATCAAAAATAGATACCCAAGGGGTACATATGTGTGGGATACAAACTCATTTACACTAACGGACATGAGCCAATGACAAAAGTGTGGGAATTGCCACAGGTATCCCACACAAAAATAACTGTGTAAGAACCGGTCAAGAGTGCAAGCATGGCAGGCAAGGGGATAATGGTTCTTCACTTTACTACCCTATCACTATGGTAAAGTCTAGGCCTGTCTTGCCCTTAAATCTGA